CTATCATTATAATTAAACTTAAAATAATTACTCATTAAGTTTTATAAAATAAATTCTTATAATAAAGTTAATAAAACACTTAACTTTTTTTCTAAGAATTTTAGACAATATTTTTAACTTAAATGTTTAAAGGTTCTGAAAAGGAGAAAGTAATATTATTAAAATAGATAAACGCAGTTTCTTCGAATAAATTTTTACCAAAAATTTTTCATCATTAATATAATCGAAATACGTAAGCAACTTTTCATGAGCTCGTGTAAGTTATCGTTTTTTGAAACACATTCTCTTTTGAAACAACAAACACTTTTACAGACTATTAAACGAAATGTTCTTTTTTTTTTTGAAGAAAATATTAGAAAGTAAAAATAATAATATACATATTTATATAATTATTTAATTATATTTCTTCAATTACATAAATAGGGCTACTACTGAGAATGCAAATCAAAATGCTTAATAAGAAACATGTAGATAACAAAAATAGCTCTACTAAGCAAAAAGTAAATCAAAATCGCTAGTTAATCAAGAATAATCCCTAAATTCAAGATCAAGTTTAAATTTTGGTAAAAACAAGTACTATATTTAGAGAGGATCCTTAAATAATAATTATAAATCAAGAAAGTACAATGATATAATATTGATATTACATATAATTTAGGATCTGAAATTGAATTAAATTTCCTAGAAGGATTGAACAGTCAAATGGGATATTTAAGAGAGGTAGTAGAAAAATATATTGAGTTAGAAAAGCTGAGGAAATATTAATAAGGTATTCAGCCTCTAATTAAATAAATTATGGTAAAATGCTTAGTCAACTAATTTTAAAAAGCTTTGATTAGGACGAATGGCATAACTATTTGTTTCTCTATTTTAACCAATAAGGTAATTGCTCGTATATTTCAACACCAAAACATTCTGAACATAGGTCTGCACAATTTCTAAAACAAATTTTTTCTAAATAGGTTTAACCAGGACATTCTAAAACACAAATGTTTAAAATATATATTTGAAGCATTCTTCATTACAAAAAAGTGCTCCACTATTATTAATATTTTTTTTAATTTTATAAGGATATTATTAATAACATTACTATCAACCCACTCTTAAACTAACTTAGGCTCAACGATGCATTTGTTTACTCAATTTGGACCTTTATTAGTAAGGTATCCAAATTTGTGTAATACTAGACCAAATTTTATTTAACATTAAAAGTTTCCTTAAAACAACTCATTTGATAGCATATTCTAAAGTCAGGACATTAGTAATAGAAAGGGGAACAAGATAAACATTGACTTACAATAAAATGATGACAACACTTTATGTTTACAGATTGAAAATTTTTTGCTCAAACTTTAAGAAGTATCCCCAGATCAGCTTTATATCATCATTAGATATGCCGAAACTGAGGATAGGATCCATCAAAAATGTTCTAAAATGATAATTTTAGATAATGTGAATGTAATATTTCAATAATTATTAAGATGTTGATCTAACGTGTTATGCTAAACAAAAAAGTAGATTAGTTAATTCAAAGGAGTAATTGTTTAATGTCTACTTTACATGGCGATATGCCTAAAAAGAAATATTCTTGAAAATATCATAATTGGTTCCATAATGTCATAAAATTAACAGAATGAGCCTATTATAATAAGTGAAACTTCAAAATTAATTATTTAAATGTCTAATTAACTAAAAAGATAAATACTTATTTACCATTCCTTCAATTATAAAATAACCCCTAAATAACATAATATATTTATTAGCAGATAAAAGATTACAATAGAATTTCTACATTTCCCACCGAATTGTAAACTGACTGAACTATCTTTAGAACCAATCTAATAAGTAAGTAAATTCCGCTATTGACGAATAATATTATGAATAATGGATATATATCTATTAAATTTATTTACAAAAATGTAAATAAGATGAAAATACTTATTTTTATTGATAGCTATAAAAATCGATAACTTTTTGGAAGAGTAGTGTCATCCATATAAAAGCAGGATAATACTTCATGAATAAACTAGATATTAATAATGCAATTTACTTTGAAGTATTTCTTGAATAGAGCAAAATTTCCTGGATAAAAGATAATTTACTAAGTTTTTCCTTATTTCAAAGCTTCATCTATGCTATTTTCTGTTTCTAATCTGGATTCTATTTGTAATTATTTAGATCTCTTTTCGATTTAAAGTAATTCATAATAAATTAGGAAAGAAAACACTATGAAAATGCCTTGAAATAATAAAATTTGTTATTCATCTAATTTTACATTTGAATTTTCAATTCTATTTTCCTAAGAATCATAAGTGCTATTTTATTATATAGCTGAGTTATTGGGATATTAAATTAAAAAGATAATTCCTAATTTTTGACATCTGCAAGATACTTACACAGTTTTATTATTAATTTCCTCAGTTACAAAATCACATTTAAATAATTATCCTTTAATATTGATATTAGCACAATCATATTAATACGGTTTTTCTAAAAGCACCTATTCTTAACAGTATGGAATTTACATCATATCTATTATATATGTTGTAAGTGGATCCTAATAATAAAGAGAACGATTATTATAAAGATGATTTGATAGATAAATTTTCTTTATGTATTCTCATTTATTTATATGGTGGTTATATTAAAGAATGTTTACAATTAGGTTTATAATTATTGATATAGATTTAAATAATTGTAATTTAATTCTATTTATTCTTTTTGAACAAAGTCAATCAAATCATCTAAATAATCTCTTTCAATATTAAATTCAGTATTAAACCTTCCTTTAGTAATTTTGGACAACTACCATTTTATAATTTACCCATCATTAATTAAAGGAGAGCCATTTACTTTTGCCTAAACGTTAAAATACAATGAAATTTCATCTAAAAGACCAATCAACCCCTCTGATATATTAATAATCTATTCTTTATCTAAATTAGAATTAATGGGGGCCATTGGTATCTTAAGAAATACATCCTCTATTAAAAGCTATGCCACTAATAAAGAGTCCAAAACAGCTACTTAACTCTAATAAAGGTTTTCATTCCAAAAAACATCATTTTAGTTAATTTAATCTTTAATATCTATTAGCATTGTTATCATTTTCTGAACAGTAGCATTCATATATTGTAATTCTGCTTGCACACTAGAAGCAGTGATAGTTGATGAAGCATTATGCACTGTACTTTAGACATAAAAGAATTTTGTAGAATCTTAAAAGCAATTCACTGAATTCTCAGTTAATAATCTCTTTTTGGAGTTTACATTATCATGCTCTTGTATTATTCTTTTATACAGTTTCGCTGTTTGATAAACTAATAATTGATCATCATTCTCTTCTGCATTTAAAAAGGTTTTGATATTTGAATACAATTATTTGGAAAGATCAATACAAAATTATTAATCTTTATGGTTCATTATAATTTCAAATAATAATGAAATTTGATATCTTAAAGTAAATTGCTGAATTTGTATCTAGGAACAATTAAGCACAGTCTAAGTTATATTTAACTATTTCTAAATGTTTGAGTATGATCCCTTAGAATCCATTGCTTAAATTAGAAGAATACCATCAGAAAATGGAAAAGTGCTTTCAATAATATATGAGCTTGAATAACTACTCAAAATTAACGAATAATCATTTGTTCGATCCAAAAAATCAACTAAATCTTAATTATGAAGAAAATATCTTAATTGGTAAGTAAATGGAGCATTAATTGAAAAATGGCAATTTGTAATTATTTTTAAAGGTTTTAATGCTTGAACTATTTATTCACTCAAGCTCACTATACAGGAAGGAGGTAAATTGACCGTTAATTATAAATCCTCTTGGCAAGGTATGATCTCATTAGTGAACTACGCCAAAAATTTCAAATTAATTTTATTTCCCTCTGAAAATTTCTAATAATAATCAAATATATTAAATTAGAATTAAAAGTATTCAGATTGCAATATCTTTATGAGTTCGAAATTATAAATGATAGCAACTTGAAATTCTAGAAGATACTACCTATTTTGAAAAGGAATATTAATGATGAACTCCAAATTTTCATAGTTATTGACTGGTCTCATTAAATACCATTAATTGTGGGTGACATTCAATAATTCAAAATTTTCATCTATATATACCAATTTTTATTCAAATTTATATGAGCGTGATCGCTTTGTAGCCACTACCGTCCAACTTTAAATAGTATACGGATTTATGGTGTATTTGGGAATGGCTTGGAAAGTATCAGTTTTATTAATTTGAATTATTTTGTTTTATAAATCCACACATTGTGAATTCCTATTAAAGTCAACACACTCGACATTGATTTCAATATCAGGATCCTGATTCCAGTTATATTAAGTATCTAAATCTTTACATGAGATGAATATATAAGTATCTTTTCTATGATTCTAAATCTTTTTGGTACCATTAAATTGACACATAATACCTCTTGAGCTAATTTCTATTGTTATATTTCTTTTAGTTGAAAAGTTCACTATTACATCACTTGTTGTTTATTCAAAAGTATATGCAACCATTGGTGTCAAAGTATATCTTTCAATAGTAACAATAAAACTATTTTGACCTGTGATTTCTGAATAATTTACTCTTGATGACCTGGAATTGGAATCGTTTTTATGGACTTCAACTAATGATAAAAAAAATTAAGAGTTATCAACTTAAGTAGCATTTATATCTGAACAAGCCCTTTTTTTAATATTAAATTCCAAAACAATAGGTTCAAAGGTGTAATATGTAGGTTTGGAAACCCAAAAGATAGTGGGAAAACG